ATGGGTAACTTCTGAAGACTAGAAACAGACATAATGTGACAATGAAATTCAACAGTGGAAAAATGAAACAGCGTGCACTTGGTGGCAGGTCAGGATTGTTATTATTAGCAGAATCTCGTATGCAGGAAACCATCAGGACAGGTGAAAGAACCACATATTCTATTCAGCTGCAGAATCACTGTAGTTTCTGATGTGATGAACCTTTCAAAAGCACAAATAGAATCATAGAACACAGCAGGTGAGAATGTATCCAAAGTAAGTATTTCTTATAGAAAGGACTTATAAGAAATAAGTATTTTTTTGTAGATAAGACTTGTAAGACTTCCTCTGGAATATCATACGCATGTCTGGTGAACATCACTTAAGGATGTTGAATTTTGACTGGAATGTGAGCAAAGGGGAATTAAAATGATCTGGGCACTGGTGACTGTCTAACAAGAGGAGACTAACTGTTCTTGGCTTGTGTTATCTAATGAAGGTTGAGAAGGGATGTCTATAAATACATCACAGATGAAATACAGGGAGTGAGAAGGGCTCATAAAATTGAAGGACAGTGTTGGCTAAAAAGAAACTGTCAGTGAATAAATTTAGTGTTGACTCACAGCCTTGGCTTTCAGATATGACATAATTGCAGATAATTTTGTGAAAGGATACCAGTAACAATATACTAGCAGCAGCGCGGTGAAATCAGGACGGCCTATGAATGTGAAGACCATTATGGTTTAATGATAACAGCAGGGCAATAGCTTGGTTAAGACTTTAATCTTAACGTGCAATCATATCGTGTCCACTTCTTTGTTCCATTTATCTCTGTTCCTGGGGGTTTATGATCTGTCATTCTCTTCCTGTAAATACGACTCCCCTCTGAAAATGCTGCTACACTTTTTTCTTCCAAATTGTCCAAGAAATTAGTCTAATTAGTTTAAACAAAGCACATCTCTCTCTTATGAAGTTTGCTGCTGCTATACCAGACTTGCAGAAGGATCTGAAGATGCCTGAAGATCTGTTCGTTTTTTCCAACAAAGCCAGTGAGAATAAAATAGATATATTGTATTTCTTAGGTCAACAAACATGGCTCAGATAATAAGAAAAAATAGAAAATGTGCATGGTTTTAATTGTCATACTTGCATTGGACTCACTCTAACTTAGAAAATTGTTTGCTTCTCTGTAATACAGGACTAAGAGATTTGGGGTTGTTAGAAAAATATCAATAACTGTTAGCACATGAACCTGGTTACCTTGGAGACTTGGTTAGAAATTAATGAACCAACATTAACTCTTGATGAGACAGGCTGAGAAAGTTGGGGCTGTTCAGCCTGGAGAAGAGAAGGCTGTGTGGAGAACTCATAGCAGCCTTCCAGTATCTGAAGGGGGGCTATAGGGATGCTCAGGATGGGCTGTTCATTAGGGACTGTAGTGACAGGACAAGTGGTAATGGGTTAAAACTTAAAGAGGGGAAGTTTAGATTGGATATAAGGGAGAAATTCTTTCCTGTTAGGGTGGTGAGGCACTGGAATGGGTTGCCCAGGGCAGTTGTGAATTTTCCATGCCTGGCAGAGTTCAAGGCCAGGCTAGATGAAGCCTTGGGTGGCATGGTTTAGTGTGAGGTGTCCCTGCCCATGGCAGGGGGGTTGGAACTAGATGATCTTAAGGTCCTTTCTAACCCTAACTATTCTATGATTCTATAATGATGACTTCAGTGGAAGGAGACAGAATGTGTAAAATGATCACGTAATTAGAATCTGAAGCAAAACCCTGAGGTAGCTGGAAGGGAAGAAGAGGAGCTTATTGTGTGTTGCCAGCTCCATCTTGTCACTAAAACTTAACATTTACAGGCCAAATAGATTAACAGATTCATCACAAGGAACCACAGAAGCTTTGTTCCATTCTAACATAATGTACCCTAAATACTGTAGCTTGTTTTAAGAAGATGGTATGTGCAACTGTAAACATCAGAGGTCAAGTTCATCTAAACTGAGTGGGAAGCCATAGTTACAAAAGAGCAGTGCTGATGCAGAAGCCCAGCTTCTCCCTTGTGGTGCCACAGCATTCGCTGCACAGAAAGCAGAAGGCCCAGCCAATGATACAGAAACACTCCTGGAGAGAGAAGACACAATCCAGAGGCAAATAGGATCTCATTTTTAAAGATTATAACTAAACTCTTTTTGCAAAGTCAAAACCAGTATTCTATTACGCCATAAATACTATTCCTTAAGATTTGGCACTAGTACCATTCCAAATCCATTTTCAGCAGTACCTACCTGGTTAAAATATCGTAAAATCCATTTCAGGGAATTTGGGAATTTGGTGAATGAAGACTAAATGTTTGATTGCTATCTCAGATGAGATAACAGTAGCCATCAGTAGCCATCCTTGACCAGGCTAGACAGCAAAGATGTTTCTAAATAAACAAGATTGTTATAACTAGAGTAGGTCATCAGGGTGTGAGGCACTGAGCTACTTAACATAAAGACAGTAGTTAGAATAGTTACAACCTGACTGTAATCAAAAGTAAGAAAACAATCAACATGGGATGAAATACATCATAAACAGAAATGTTTAGTTTTTCAGTGTCTTTCAGCGCTCAGAAATAAATGTTAATCTTCTGGTCAGTTCCTCTACTGGATACAACTTGTTTCTTTCATATGTATCAAAGCAATATATGGGATTAAGAAAGCAAGTTTTCTTAACCTGTAATTTGATTCCTACACGTCATAAAAGCTTTGATGTAATTCTGTGGCAGTTTTTGCCATTTCACACTACAGCTTATGTTAGTAAATGTTTTCCATGTATTCAGTGGCAAATTGGACTTTTTCCCAAACCAAAATACACTCTTCTCTGCATTATTACCGTTGGAATGTGACCTAAAATACAGGGTTTACAAATGGTCTTTTTAAGCCAACTAACAGTTTCTGCATTTCACTCTATTACCTTTACCATTTCTCTAAATGGAAGATAACACCTGAGAAGAATATCTGAGTTACAAGTATCAGTTTAAATTACTACTCAGCATGTGACTTTTTGTATTTAGTAACATTTGTGCACTATTATAAAGACATTGCTGCAGAAAAGGAGCAATTAATAAAATTATTTTTATTCTTGAAAATAAAGGCACTTTTTCCTATAAGCCACATAAATCCTTGATTCTGTAGATTCACAGAAGTTGAAGTGGTTTTCTCAATGATAATCACTCCAAATACTGCAAATGGTGATTTATTCTTTTGAGTAAAGGAAACCAAGTCTGTAACCTGGTCCATAAAAATTATGTATCACAAGGAACAGACACGGGTGTCAATCTTAGCAAAATTCAACTCCATTAGAAGCAGTCACCTTCTTTAAAAATCCTTAGCTCCTAGTAGATAAATCATTATTTTGCTTCTATATTTATACAGTTGTGCCACATTGATGTGATTTTTGATATTATATGCTTGCTATCTCTGCAGTTGTAACTTGAGCTTAAGCAAAGTTGAACTGATTTTTAGTGTAAATACTAGTAACTATTGAGGTCAAAGAGCACAACATATCGAATACAGAATCACAGAATAGTTAGGGTTGGAAAGGGCCTTAAGATCATCTAGTTCCAAACCCCCTGCCATCATTCGGAGGGACACCTTGCACTAAACCATGTCACCCAAGGCCATGTTCAACCTGGCCTTGACCACCACCAGGGATGGAGCATTCTCAACTTCCCTGGGGAACCCATTCCAGTGCCTCACCACCCTTACAGTAAAGAACTTCCTCCTTATATCCAGTCTAAACTTCCCCTGTTTAAGTTTTAACCTGTTACCCCTTGTCCTATCTCTACAGTCCCTAATGAAGAGTTCCTCCCCAGCATCCTTACAGGCCCCCTTCAGATACTGAAAGGCTCAAAACCTAATTAATAACTTTATAGCTCTTCCAGCTATCCCATACTCTCTGATTGAATTCTGTTAAGGAAGAGTTATGAGAAAATTGTGCATAGCTTTTGGTCATCACACTACTGTCTCCCAGTGCAAAAACCAGAATGGCAAAGCCAAGGTTTGTTATATTACAATGAAAGCAAACAGGCCACTCATAATGGCTTATGTTTGACATCATCTTCTAGCCTGCAGTCATAAACTGCTCAAGATCTCTTCTTCTTTTACTTACAGCACCTCAGCCACTATTTCCTCCTCATTTTCTGCTCATTCTTGTGTAGCTTAAGAAACCCATCTGAACATCTCACCTCAGTTTTCAGACTGGAGGAGGGAGAGGTGGATGAAGTTCAGGGATGGTCCATGTGCGATGGGAATCGCTGCATTAGGGTGCCATGTTCGATGAGGCATTCTTAGAACTTTATGCGAGGAAAATGTTTCTTAACCCTGTAATACTTTACCTTGAGTGTATAATCCCTCCTCAGGTAACTGCTCTCCAGTGAGGCTTTGACGATTTGTATTTTCAACTTAACAGCACTTTCAGCTGCAATAGGAAACCTGATGCTTGCGAGGTTGGGTGAAAGTGGAGAAGGTTCCTGCAGCAGACTAACGCGTGCTGAGTAAGAGAAACATCTAAGAGGGACTAAGTTCGCTTGTGGCGCAACAGCTGAGTGGCGGCAAAAGGGATAAATGAAAGAAAAGCCTTCTGCCTCCCGGCAGATGGGACGCTCCAGTTGGACGAACTCGCTCGTCGAGGGGAGGCTTCCGAGGCCAACCAGACGGTGCGGGTTGCTCCAGGCGGGCGGGCGGGCGGGCCGCTGAAGGCAGCAGCGCCCACGGGGACCATGACGGAGCCCCTGCGTGAGATCCTAGGGGGAAGGTGCAGCACTCTCACACCGGAGCCGCCAACTGGACGCACCCCGACGCCACACGGCCCTGCGCCATACGTCACTTCCTGCCGCCCGCGCGCGGAAGTGTCGCTGTCGCTGGGCCTCCGGCCGGCGCGGCGTGCGGAGCTTGCCGGTTTCCATAGCAGCGGCCGCGGGGGGCGGCCCGGCTGGCTGTGAGCGTCCCGGCGGGGTAAGGAGGGGAGAGGGCCGCGGTCTTGGGCCCTCCGCCCGGCCCCGCAGGCGCTGCCGTGCTGCTGCGGGAGCCGGGGCCCGAGCACCCGTGAGGAGTGGTGGCGGGTCGCCGAGGCCTGAGCTGGCGTCCCGCTGCGCCGCAGGCTGCCTACGGCGGCGGCGGGCTGCTGTATGAAGCCTGGCTTGGATGGGGACAGTTCCGTTCCGTGGAGATCCCGCCTGGTTTTACAGCTGCAGGGGCCAAGGGCGGTTCCCGGTCGGTCTGGAGTGACACCAGATGCTGTTAACGGGACTCGATTCACGATGCTTTGAACGCGAAACCAAATATGTCCTGAATTTTGCTCTTGGTAATGCTCTTGGGGCGGTTACGCACTGAGCTTTCACCTAAATAGCTGATTTACCTATTTGAGAACGTGCCCTGTGTTTTGCTGCTGTTCTACGGACTGACAAGGATAAGACGGTATCTTGTATACACTTCTGCTTCGGAAGAATCTGTTTGTGCTGTGATTGAAAGTAATCTCTTTGTGCACTAAATTAAATGTAGCCCACGGTAATTCAGACTTTTTGGCTGAGCTGTGCATCTTACACGGAAGCCTTACAGCTGGGTTCACAGCTTCTTCAGTGAGGAGATTTGCATAGAATCATAGAGATATTTGGGTTGGAAGGGATCTTAAAGATCATCCACTTCCACACCCCCAATGTCATGGGCAGGGACACCTTCCACTAGACCAGGTTGCTCAAAGCCCCATCCGACCTAGGTTTGAATATTTCCAGGGATGGGGTATCTACACTCTGGGTAACCTATTTCAGTGTCTCACCACCAAGTAAATAATTTCTTCTCTATAAATAGTTTAAATCTACCCACTTACAGTTTAAGTCGTTACCTCTTGTTCTGTCACAACCACCCCTATTAAAAAGTCTGTCCCAATCTTTCTTACAAGTCCCCTTCAGATACTGGAAGGCTGCTATGAGGTCTTCTCGCAGTCTTCGCCAGGCTGAACAGCCGAGCTTTCTCAGCCTGTCTTCATACGGGAGGTGCTCCAGTTCCCTGATCATCATCATCGTGGCTTCCTCTGGACTTGCTCTAACAGCTCAATGTCCTTCTTATGTTGAGGACACCATAACTGCACACAATACTCCAAGCAATGTCTCATGAGAGCAGAGTAGAGGGGAAGGATCAGATCCTTCGACCTGCTGGTCATGCTCCTTTTGATGCAACCCAGGATACGGTTGGCTTTCTGAGCTGCGAGTACTTGGAATACATCTAAAAGTCTGCAAAATAAAGAGGTCTTCAGAACATCTCTGACTGAATGGTATTTGCCCAGTTGCAATGACTGATGGTAATTAGATAGAGCTGGGCAAGAATTTTCTGGCACCATCTGTTTCTAGCAAAAAGGAATTCCAACAGAGTCAAATGTTATGTTTTTAACAATCCAATGTTGCAACGTTTTCTTTAAAATGCAACAGTATTAACATCTTTTAGACTCTGTATAGTATCAAAATAATCAAATCTACCAGTGAGACAGAAAATCTAGCTCCTAACCAGATATACAGTCCAGGATTTCTAGGCTGAAATATTTTTCTACAGAACACTGAAAATAGCCTGTTTACTGCAGAAGCTCTCTTTTCTTTAGCATTTTCTTTTATGTTCCTTAACATAATGTTTAGTGTTGGTTAACTTTTTGTTATTTGTTATTTAAATAAAAAAGTCTTCATGAAACAAGCATTGAAAAAAACTGATAATGTGTTTTATTACACTCTTTTAAACTCCTCTCTGTCTTAAAAAAAGTCAGACAATTGAAATGATAAAAGTATAAGCACTTAGCCTCTGAATTTCTATTTTTAACAGAAGACTTAGCTTAATGCAAGTAATGTAATATTGCAAGTAATTTTTGTTTCAATTCTGTCTGGTTTTGCAGGCCTTGCATTTCAAATGGTTTAAAACCCAGGATATTACAGCACTGATCATGCTAAGCAAACAGGTATCAAAGAAATACTAGAATTAAAGGACCTAGTGATTGCTATGCAGTATAAATTAGGAAAGTATCATAACAGCCTTCCTTGTGCTATAGAGCGTGTACTTTTGTCACTGACATTTGCTTTGTGTAATTCTTGAGGAATCTGTTTTGGCTTTTCAGCTGTCTTCATATACCTATTTCAGCTAAATTATATATATTTCTGTTTTCAATATAGAATAATATACAAGTATTGATAGATGAATTAGAGACTGCATTACTTGGTTATCTGAATCAGAAAAATATGTAGGGATTAACACTGCTTAATGTACAAAAAAAAGAAAAGAAGGCACGATGCAGTCTGCTTAACGTAAATACCGTAGCAATTTGTGATGGAAGACAGGTTCCTCTAGAGACCTGCAGAGGGAGATCTGTCCTATCAAGTGAGGGGGTTTTATCTATCCCTTTGCTGTGTAAGAAATTATAACGGAAGGTGTTTTGGAATATAAAATAACATGTGGGAAAAGGTTGATTTCCTACTGGGGGAAAAAAAATCCCAAACCAACAAAAAAAAAGAACAACCCCACTTTTGTTTTTAGTTCTTGGATGGCATATAAAGTGATAACTAAAATGAAAATGAAATGCTTTTGATACTAATTTTAGAAGCAATATCTCATTCTACCTCACACCTCTGAAAGACTTCAGAGTATTTTGCTCATCTGAGCCAGTGTCAAGCAGAATGCATTTCCTTTAGCACTTCCTCTGTCATTTCTTCTTAAAATGCACATTTTTTTATTCTTTTTAGCATAAAATACTTTAAGAATGTTGAATTAGGGTTTATAAATAATTTTTTATCATTCCTGGGTGTACATTTTGATATCTGTATTGATACATATGTGTGGGTCTCCTTTGCAGAATCTGACTAGTTACCATCTGGCAGATACTTGAGTGTTCCTAAATTAGTTAATTTTTAAGAAAGCTAAATATCTTTCCTGCATAAATATTCTCTGGCTGTCAGATACTGAATCCAAATATCTTTAAAGTATGCAATACTGAGGTTTGGAGGAGGAGGGTTTAGTTTCACAGAGAACACTGTAATCTGGAAACAAGGTATATTTAAATGAAGGGTCAGTTCTCATTATGCTTTCCTTGCCTGTGACTAGTGAAATATATGCTTAATATTGTATATTCAGATCTTCCATTTCATGGGTAATCGTTTTCTTAATGTCAGTTTCAAATTTTTATCATACACAGGAGTGATACAATGGAGTGGTGCTTACAACAAACATTGCAAAGATGTCATTGATACTTCTGACATAGCAATATATGTTCGTTTTGGTGCTTTTGTATAATTTATGCTTTGCTCTGCAAAAGTAATTATAGTTTTCTTCATATCATTACTTAATTTCATCAGACAACATTATAGTTCAATGTTTCTTGTTTTCATTATAGAAGGCTCCCCAAGACTCTATTTAACAGTCAAATTTGTTATTTGGGGTGAGAATCAGTTCACAGATTAAGAAACCGACATTTAAGTGTCGCATGGGGGTATTTTTGCCTGAGCAGGGCATCTGAACTTCCCATATCATGAATGCAGATCTGTCTTTGTAGTCAGTGGCAAAGCCTAAAAACATGCCAGTTGGCCTCTGTCTCTGGTTTCAGAAAGGGACAGGTTTCCCTTAGCCCTCCATCATGTCTGTCAGCCGTGCATAAGAGGTCTTTCATACCTCATCTGACAGTAAACCATGTGTGCATGAACAACTGAGTCAAGTTCCATTGACTTCATTGCCTGTAACAGAAACTTACTCACCTGGTTCTTATGTAGACACCTAAATATAGGTGATTTACTTTGCAGATAGAAACTCCCACTGACAGCCTAAGATATCTAAGGCATGGGTATGAAGCTGTGAGCTCTGACACATGTAGAGACCCCTACCAAAGTGACTGTTGTAGACCAAAGAGGATACCATAGGGTGTAAAAATGTATTAGATGCTCATTAAGGTGAGTGAATCTAGCCATCAGCATCTCAGACTACTGGATTATTTGTAGTTTTCTTTTGACTAGCTTACTTTGTATATGAAAATAAATAACACTAAGATTTTAATTTTTAGCTTGTTCACTACAGCAAGACTTGCGCTTCTACAAAAGTACCATTCAAGCACAATATGAAGAAAAAAATTGAAGAGCAGGCTTCAAATCTTTGTAAATACATAAATGATTGACTAACAGATGCTGAGTTTTTACAGTGCATGCTCCATTTGCACGTGGCACAAGAAGGATGACATTTAGATTCCATACTTTCTAATTTGAATTATTTTTATTATACCGATTGCATCCTGAACTCGTTAATAAGAAAGTTTATTACATAGTTTATGCAGTTTTGCATACTCTAGTTTTAGACGAGTAACATTATAGTTAGTACAACATAAATATGTTTATAGATACCAGTGGAAGAAAGCAAAAATTGCAGAGTTTTTAATTTCTTGACAAGTGAAAAACAATTGACTATAAAATACTCAAGCAGTGTAGGATTAGACCCAAATATGCACTCAGTACTTACTCTTCCATGTTATGGAAGGCAGTAAATCAAATGAACATGCTAATTCACAGCAAATAAAGAGAACTTGCTTTAATTGACAGTCTGTGATTGGGTCTGTTAGGAGGCAGAAACATAGTAAATAATTCACATAAAATGCTGCTTGGTTGGTTCAATAAAAAATGAAAATGTCTTGAAAATTCTGTAGTTGAGCTCTTAGGCTACCGGTTAGAGAATGAGGACCAATTCTCGGCACTGCAGGTGGCTTTCTACTGCCCTCTAGGGACTATGCCACAAACTTTCTTCTTAACGAGTTCAGGCTGTAACTGGTACAGTAAAAATTATCCAGTTTAGAAAATATGGAGCCTAGATTTCATCTTTCTTCCCCACATTCAAATGGAGCATGCGAGTTTTTATTCTTGACAAAACAAATCCAATAGTAAAAAGAAATAGAAAGAAAAATATTAAATTACTTTACTTGGATAGTTAGGAAATTTATTGAGTAAAAATATTTCGCTATAATTATTCTATTATTGGATTTACACAGCAAGGTCAAATGGAGATATGTAGTGGAAATTGTGTACAGCATTTTAACAGTGTCTACTATATAATACAGTATATAGAAAATCATAGAGAATCCTGAAAGGAAAAAGGAATGTGTTTTTTGCAGAATGAATGATCTCCTGGACATCTGAAGGGACAGAAGAACAGGTGCACTTGTGAATGAGTTCAGACCAGCATTAATCATGTGGATGTTTCAAAGAATAGGATAGAGAAATGTGAAGCAAAGAAGAAAAGTCCACAGAAAAGATATGTGGAACTGTGAAGCTGAGGAATTTTAATAAGATGTGAGAGGAGATCAGAATGCTGGAAACACTGAGCAAGTGACAGAAGATGATAATGCATTTCAAGAATGTTGCATAGCTTGAAGCGGGTGGTTGGAAGGCAAAAGTGAGGCTTTAACAGTAAAGGAAAGGATAGCTACTGTAAAGAAAGAAACTACAGGATTTATTAAGAAGACAACACCGAGAGTAAAGATTTTAATTTTTCACTTTGTTCTTC